CTGTTATTCAGCCTTCCTCATACTACTTTTATAATCAGAAAAAAAAAAATATTTTTAATCTTCACCAGAGATATTTCCCCCCCATTGATTTTTAGAGAGAGTAGGAGGGAGGGAGGGAGGGAAGGAGAGAGAGAAATAGAGAGACAGATAGAGATAGAGAAAAACATCAATGTGAGAGAAATACTTCAACTGGTTTGCCTCCTGCTGCCCCCCCAGCCCTCCGCCTCTCTGCAGCCCGTCTTACTTGTCCTTCAAGGCCCAATTCAACTTTCATTTCTTCTGTGAAGTGATCACCCCAGCCCCAAATTATTTTTCCTTCCTCTTATTCCCAGAGCACGATTACAATGCTTGCATTGTTATATGTATTAGGCTAGGCTTCCTTCTCCAATTAAACTAAAAACTATATAACCCAGTTCAGAAGTCACCTCCATATGAAACTGCAGACTACTACCCCCAAACCTTCCGGTTCTCTCTCTTCATTACCATTATCCCTGTTCTTTGACCTTGCTGGGACTTCTTATCTTAGAACAACTCCTTTTCTCCCCTACACTACCAGCCTCTTATTTTTTTTTACTTCTGTACTCTAGATTATTCATTGTAATAATGGACCCAGAAACAAACAATACAGAGAAGGTCATGTCCTTAGGAAACTTCCAGCCCCTAGAATTCATTAATTTAATCCCCCTCTTGCCGGCCCCTCCCGTTCTCTTACTCCCTGGTCTTTCCAGTGCATCCATCTGGAAAATTCCAATCAATCCAACTACCCTCACTCTTTTACACACAAGATGATGTGCATTTGGAGAAAATCACACAGTAGCAATGAATGGGGCCACTACAAATACACTGTCTTTAATTTCACTTGGATTTCAAAAGTGGAGGGCAGTACTTCCAGTTTCCCTTATCAGTTTTTTCTCCTCTTTACCAATCTCTTACCTCCTTTCTTCTCTAATCTCTGCAAAAATGTATAGAAAGAAATAGAAGTCTTTGGGGGATGAGGAACTTCTTCAATTTTCTGTCCTTTCTCCCACATGAAAAACTATCTGCATGCACATTTATCATTTCCTCCAATCCTAAGGGAGCAGGAGTCTGGTATCTCCACCCCTTCTCACACACATGCCTCAGCTGTCACATTCCGGTGGTCCCCAAGTCCTGTATATTCTACTGTGAAAAGTAGCTATCTTCGACTTCTTATCTCCCATGGCTACACTGCTTAAACTTCAAGCACTTCTTTTTTTAGATTTCTTCCCTTCCCCCACTCCAACCTCTTTCCCCTCCTAATAATCTCTAATAAATATGACTCACAATTTAATTCAAATTACCTGGAATTAAATTCTTGCAGATGCCAAAAAGAGTATGAAGAAGTAAAGCTGCCTTAAATTATTCTTGGAGGTAGATAGATGAGAGAGAGAGAGTGAGAGAGAGAGAGAAAGAAAGGGAGTAAGAAGGAAAGGAATAAAGTTACTATCTTGGCCTATCATGTGAAGACAATTGACATTCTGAGATAGTTCATCTTTAGGCTTGCCATATGACTTCTGTGCACAAATATTTCTATAGGAGGTCCCACTCTAAAAGGTCTTTCATTCACATTATATGCAGATACTGTGCTCCCTAAAAGGCTCTTGTTACCTTATCTCTTGCTTCCAAGAGACTGATCTGTCCCTTCCAATGTCACTACTCATAGTTTCTACCCATAGAGAAACAAGCTGTAACAGCCTCTTAACTCAGTATGTTTTTAATGAGTTTAACTTCAGGCCAGGTACTGTGCTTGTTAAGACACAGCTCAACAATAATTAACAATTTAGTTAGGAGTGCTACAGTGAGAAAACATTGGTAACTACTATATATAGGGCATATGTTACTAAAGCTACAGTGAGCTAGAGAGTCACAAGGAAAACTTCATGCCCTTCTTAAGAGGTTAAAAAATGTCTTCTTCCTATTTTCCAGGAGGAAAAGATGCACATAGATGTTCATGATAAATCTGAGCACATAAAGACTGATAGTAGATTGAGGTACGTCACCCTAAATGGGTGAAAAGGAGGAAGAGAAAGCAAAGAGGAACCTTCATAAATTTACTCTTCATTTTCAAATTGGGGGGG